GTGGTGTCTCCCATCACCTCTGGCTCAAGGGCCTTTTGCTACTGTCCACTGATGATGGCTGTGAAGCCAAGCTTCCCACAGGAGAGAGGTGAATGTGTCAGGAGGAAAGCAAAGCACTTCTGGAGAGACGCACAGGCCCACAAAGCCCTCTTGTGCTTTGAAGCTGATGGAAAGTGGATTTCCCTGCCTTCTCCTGCAAAGTTCAGATATCTTCAGGAAGTCTTGGCCAAGAAAGCCTATAAAGCCCTGGCAGGACCTTACCCATGAGCCTTGTACACCTCTAGCCTCAACTTCTTCCTAGCGTGGAGGTGGCTGGAGAAGAACCCACTGCTCAGCTGCAGTTACAGCTGAACCTCCCAGTCCCACCAGTTCCATGGAGACTGTTGCTCTGTCCTGCATCATGGCTGCCCTGCTCCCAACCTTGTGTGAACCTTGCCCATCCCCTGCCCCACCCTACTGCTTTTTGCCTCCCGTCAGTGCCCCATGGCTCCTGGTTTGAACATGTCCGAGGCTGGATGGAGATGAAGGACACTGAGAATTTCTTCTTCATCACCTATGAAGAGCGAAAGCAGGTAGACACCTAGGCAGACCCTCCAGCTCCAAAGATGCTGGTGTGTCACAAGCCACTTAGTGGTAACAGGCTCTGTCTGTCCCTCCAGGACCTGCACAGCAGTGTGAGACGTCTCTGCCGGTTCCTGGGGCAGGATTTGGATGATGATGCCATCTCCTCAGTGGTGCAAAATGCGTCCTTCACAGCCATGCGGGAGAACCCCATGTGCAGCTCCATCCTGCTCCCCTCAGACATTATGGACCAGACAAAGGGCCAGTTCCTGAGGAAGGGTGAGCAAGAAGGACCCCACCACAACACCTCAGGGAGACCCCCCCTGTCAGGTGTCCTCCCCTATGAGGACAGAGAGAGTGAGGGTATCTTGGACAGCTGCATCAAGGTGCATTTGAGTCTGAATAATGGGGTTCATAGAATCATAGGATACAGTCATGGAATAGTTTAGGTTGGAAGGGACCTTTCAAGGTCACCTGGCCCAAGCCCCCTGCAATGAGCAGGGATATCTTCAACCAGGTCAGGTTGCTCAGAGCCTCATCCAACCTGACCTTGAATGTTTGCAGGGATGGGGATGGTCTCTCATTTTGGACAACCCCCTTGGGGTGGTAGCTGGACCCAAGAGCTGAGCCTCTCCCCACGTGCCTACAGAGCAGAGAGGGCGGCTGCGTGCTGCGATGGGCTCTGAACCCCAAACACTTCTTCCTCAGGCATCTGCGGGGACTGGAAGAACCACTTCACGGTGGCGCAGAGTGAGACCTTTGACAGGATCTACCAGGACAGGATGCAGGGCCTGAACATGACCTTTCCGTGGGACAGGTATTAGGATTTCTCCCTGTCTGAAGGCAGCTAAGCACTGGCTATAAACCAGCCACCAACAACTGGGGGAACTGGCAGCTGTTGGACAGAGGGGGTTGTCCCCAGCGCTGCAAATGGTACTGAACCTCAGTGTGCAGGCAATTAATTTCATGGAATCATAGAATCATTAAGGTTGGTAAAGACCCTTAAGATCATTGCATCCAACCGTTCCTCTAACCCTGCCATCCCACCACTAAACCATGTCCCTAAGCACCTCGTCTGCCCAGTTGTTAAATACCCCCAGGTATGGGGACTCAACCCCTTCCCTGGGAAGCCCCTTCCAGTGCTTGACAGCCCTTTCCATGAAGGAATTTTTCCTAATGTCCAACCTAAACCTGCCCTGGCATGACTTGAGGCTGTTCCCTCTCATCCTATCACTTGTTACTTGGGAAAAGAGACTGACACCCACTTGGCTACACCCTCCTTTCAGGTAGTTGTAGGGAGCGCTAAGGTCTTCCCTCTGCCTTGTTTCCTCCAGACTAAACACCCCCAGTTCCCTCAGCTGTTCCTCATAGGACTTGTGCTCTAGACCCTTCTTTACCAGCTTCGTTGCTCTTCTTTGGACATGCTCCATCACTTTCTGCTGCTATTTTGCACCCTTTTTCCTTGGGAGGGCTTTTTCTCCTGGGTTGTGCCTCTGTGCTCTGTCCCATCCCTCCACCCTTTTTCCCCTCGAGGCTGGCTCCAGGGTCTCCCAGGGTAGGACCCACCTCCCTGCCCTCCAACACATCCCTCTTCTGCAGGCAGAGGAGAGTAGCACGTGCCTGAGAGCACACAGATGAGCCACGTCCTGCCTGTCACATCCACTGGCCAGGGCACCTTGTTTGGGAGCTGTGACCAGCCAAAATGTTCTCTTGGGGCTGCTCATCAAACAGGAGGGAAAACGGGGAGGGACGCGTGAATGCAGAGGCGTTTCAGATGTGCTGCCGGGGCTAGCAGAAATGGAGAGCTAGATAAAATTAATAATAAAATTTGAGCAAAACCAAGGCTGGCTGCCAGACCCTGGGGACCTGGAAGCCCAGTCCCTCCCTTTCAGGGGATGGGTTGAACAGCAGGATGGCAAAATACCCCCTTCACTTTCCAAGCCAAGAATAAGAACTCTTCAAATGCAAAGGACGTGTCCAAGACACATGCATGGTCAGCGCTAGGGCCAGGGTGCTGTATAAGATTTAGGAAAGGGTGTGCAGACAAGACAGCTTGCCACTGCACCTTTCTTGGTTCAGCCTGATAAAGCTTAAACTAGGCGTTGGGTTTCACTGAAGCAAGGTGCTGTGGTTTAACCCAGCAGGCAGCTGAACATCACCCAGCCACTCACTCCCTCCCTGCCCCCCCTCAGTGGGACGAGGGAGAGAATTGGTACAAAAGTAAAACCCTTGGGTTGGGATAAAGACAGTTTAAGAAAACAGCAGAGGAAAAGAGTAACAACAACAACAATAATAATAACAATAACAATGATGATGATGATGATAAGAGAATATACAAACCAAGTGATGCACAATGCAACTCCTCACCACCCGCTGACCCATGCCCAGCCCATCCCCGAGCAGCTCATGCCAAGTGGCACCCAGGGCAACTGCTCCCAGTTGAAATGCTGAGCATGGCGTCTTCTGGTCTGGAATAGCCTTTGGGCCAGCTGGGCTCAGCTGACCTGGCTGTGCCCCTGCCCAGCTTCTTGTGCCCCTGGCCGAGCAGGGGAAGCTGAAAAGACCTTGCCTGGTGGAAGCACCGCTTGGCAACAACCAAAGCATCAGGGGAAGCCCAGCTCCTTGCAGTGGTGCAGCTGCCAAAGTACTGCCTTAATTAATGACAGCCTAACTGCCTGATGGAGGCAATCAGATGGCAATCAGAGACCCAGGAGGTGGCTGCAGGCTTAGCAAGACACTGTCCAGAGAGGGAAAGTTATACAAGGGACAGTGAGCAGTGCCATGGTTGGCACGTCCATGTTGGAGTCTTAAGCAATGTCCCAGCCAGAAGATAACCTGACTTAGAGAAAGCCTCCTGTCCCTGCTGGCCATGAAGGCTGGGCCACCTTCATTGCACATCCACTCGTGCCCAACACATTCCACGCAATGAGCACGCGGTCAGGA